CTGAAAGGTAGGGAAGAAGAAAAAAAGAACCACAGAACAGGCAGGACAAGGAAAGAGAACTTAGTAAGATAGTAGACTTAATGTAAAAGAATTGGTCGTTACATCAAATATAAATGGACTAAAATTATCAATTGTATAAAAATATCAAGAGATACATCTAAAGCAAAAGGATATAGAAGAGTTAAAAGTAAAAGAATGATAAAGTGTTTGATGTACCAGAAGGATGTAACAATTCTCATTTTGTATGTGATAACATAGTATCAAATATATAGAGCAAAAATCGACAGATTAAAAGTAATAGAGAAACTGACACTCTTAGTTACTGATGTTAACATACCTTTGTCAGTAATTGACAGAATAAGCAGAAAAACAAGTAGAAATTTTGAGTAACGTAATTAATAAACTTGACCTAATTGACATATAGAATACTGTACTGAATATCCATAGCTTTCTTCTCAAATGCACATGGAACATTTTTTTTAAAATTGATTATAGACCATAATGCATATTTCAAATACTTGAAATTAAACAGAATCCATTCTCTGATCACAACATAAACTTGAAAGGTAACTAGATAATTAACTAGAGAAAGATTAGTAGAAATTTCCCATATATTTGAAAATTAAGAATTACACTTCTAAATAATCCATGAGCCAAGGAAGAAATCATAGTGAAAATCAGAATATATTCCGAACTGAATGAAGATATGATATAATGTATGGAATGCAGCTAACTTAATACATAGAAGGAAACTTGTAATCTCATGTGTTTATATTAAAAAAAGAAAGTCTGAGCCAGTAATCTAAGCTGTTACCCCAAGAAGCTGGAAAAAAAGAGCAAATTATACCCAGAGAAGAAGAAGAAAAAAAGAGATAATAAAGAGTAGAAATCTTTGAAATAGGAAACAGATGTATAATAGAGAAAATCAATGAAATAAATTCATAAAATCTTTAGCAATAAAGACCAAAGAAAACATAGGTAAGGTACAGATAACCAATGCCAGGAATGGAAAAGGGGACATTACCATGGGTCCTCTCAGTAGATGTAGAATAAGCATTTGATGAAATTCAGCATCCATTCATGATAAAATCTGTGGGTAAACTAGGGATAGATGGGAACATCCTCAGTCTGAAAGAGTAATTATTAAAAGTCTGCTGCAAACATTATACTTTCCTTTTGAGTTTGGGAAAAATGTAAGAAAAAAGTAAAAGTTATCAGGACTGAAAAGAAAAACTACCTTTATTTGAAGATGGTAGGATTATGCACATAGTAAATTTTGAAGAATCTACAGCTAACTATATTTCATAAATCACTTAAAAATACCATTTATCTAGGAATAAATGCAGAGAACTCACTGCAAGTCCTGTTGTGGACTGAAGGTTTGTGTCCACCCACCCCCTCCCCTGCCAAACTCATGGTGAAATCCTAGCACTCCCCATCCCGTGGCTATATTTGGAGATGGGCCTCTAAGGAAGTAATTAAGGTTAAATGAAGTCATATGGGTGGAGCCCTGACCCAATAGGATTAGTGTCCTTATAAGAAAAGACACAAGGGAGCTCTCTTGCTACTTGCTCTCTCTGTTCTTTGTCAGAGGAGAGGCTATGTGAGGACAAAGTGGTTGTCTGCAAGCCAGGGAGAGATTCTCACCAGGAACCGAGTTGGCTACACCTTGATCTTGGACTTCTAACCTTCAGAACTGTGAAAATACAAATTTCTGTTGTGAAGGTACCCAGTCTGTGGTATTTCATTATGGCAGCCCCTGCTGCATAATACAGCCTCTCTTCAGAAAACTATAAAAAATTATTGAGAGCCATTAGGGTAGACTTAAATAAATGGAGTAGTATAGCAGTTCATGGTTTGGAAGTTAATAATTCTCTTCAAAGTGATCTACAAAAGTACTTCTCAAACTTTACTATGCACACAAATTATCAAGGGACCTTGTTTAATGAGGTTTCTGATTGAGGGGGTCTAGCATGTGGCTGAGATTCAGCATTTCTAACAAGCTGGTAGGTGATGCTGATGCTGCTGGTCACTGAACCACACTGACTACCAAAGATGTGTAGATCCATTGAAATTCCACTCATGTCCAAGCAGTCTCCCCTTTCCTTCTCCATTCTATCAGCTAGTGAAATAACTTCTGCAGTTCTCAGCATCTGGTCTACTTCATTTCCTCTATTATCCCCTCTCCCTTCTGCAGTGGATTATTTGAAGTAAAATTAGAGAGTGTATCATGTCATCTGTAAATATTTGGCAGAAATTTTTTTAAAGCATAACTATCATGTAGTTATCATATCTAAAAAAAACTGATGCTACTTCTCAAAATCATCAAATATACAGAAAGTTTTCAAATCTCTTGTTTTCTCATAATTTTTCAAGAAACTGATAAACAGTTTCTCTTTTCCTCCATGATGTGGTTTAATCTGTTCCTCTGTAAAATAGTAATTGATCTAGATGAAGCTTGATGAGACTGGGCTGGGCTTCGACTTTATTTTTGCAGGAACACTTCATAGGTGGTCGTGTATCTGTCCTGTGGCACCCAACAGAAGACACATGACATCTGTTTCTATTTTCATGACATTAAGATTGATCAGTTGTTCACCTTCTGGTTTTAGCAGCCATTGGTGTTAACTGCCCACATACATTATTTCATTAGGGGTTGCAAAATGGTGATATTCTAAGTTTATTATTTCTTATTTATTAGGTGGAATTCCTCTTTTCCTAAAGAGGATTTTCTCTCATCAACTATTGTTACCCTGAGGTATAATTTGTATAGAAAGGCAGAAGTACTTGATTCCTTTCCTTTGTTTGTCAACCTTTAGAATAATGAGTTGATTCTCTAGCATTTTTTTTTTTTTTAAATGTCTACTTGCCCTGAAACACAATGTTTCTTTATGTTTATTTGTTTATTTATTTATTTGAGAGAGAGAGAGAGAGCATGAGAGGGGGAGGGTCAGAGGGAGAAGCAGACTCCCTGCCGAGCAGGGAGCCCGATGCGGGACTCGATCCAAGGACTCCAGGATCATGACCTGAGCCGAAGGCAGTTGCCCAACCAACTGAGCCACCCAGGCGCCCCGATTCTCTAGCATTTTTAAGAGGCAACTCATTTATTAAAAAGTATCATTATCAACTCTGGATCTTTTACTTCTACTGTGTTTCAGGTTTTTTGGTAAGTATTATTCTTTTTGATGTTCCAGTTGTTCCATCTTTGGCCAGTGGGAATCTTTTCAGGTTTTCTGTTGCATACTTTTGACATTGACCCCAGTAAGTCTGCAGCTTCAGCCCAGTTCGCTGCTTAGCGTTTATATTCTTTTCCGGTCCACAGAGATTTTTTTTGGTTTTGAGCCCAAGTTTTACTTTTGTTTTTATGTTTTTCTTTATCATTGCTTTCTTTATGGAGCAGGGTGGTAAATCAAAGCATCACCTCCCTGTACTACCTTGAGTAAAAAGTCCAAAAGAAGTTTTGAAATGATCATCCATTCATAAGATTCCTTAAACAAATACACTAAAATTTCAGTGCATTGATGACATAGGACAAGTATCAAGATCATGAGATCATAAGGAGATAAAAGGTCCAGAAAGGGTCAGGCTGAAGACTTGGGGTCTTGAACACAGTGTAAGGAGGAGGACCCAGATATCAGAATTCCATGTTTGCTGTGTACATTTTGCTCCAGGTCACCTATAGAAAAATGTTTGTCATTCATTCTAGAATGTGAATTTTAGCCACTCTCAACAAGTTCTATTTTGCCTTCTTTAAGTTTTAGCTTAAAGGACTCTTTCCGGTAATATTTATCCATAGATTCTTGGATGAGGTAACCCATATATCTGGTGTTAGGAATAAGCAAAAGCAGAGGAACTGTCCTCTGAGGCTTATTTTTGTTGGAATGTGCTTTTTACTCTGAAGTGACATAGGTGATATTTTAAGTTCTTGAGTTGATACTGTAGAAATAATCTACTGATGTTCTACTTTTTAAGAACCTCCTTATTTAGTTTTCATTAATTATTGAATAGCTAATATTTCAAAAACATGGGTGTTTCTAGTTAGAATGAAACATATTTTATGCTGAATGAAAGTGTCTGAAATGTTTATTAATTTAAAAAGACGTGTGTGTGTGTGTGTGTGTGTGTGCGTAAAGTATTGTTTTGGGTTTTACTAATATCACCCTTATCTGGCATCACAAAAATCTCTGCACTTTCTCCTTCCCAAATGTTTATGATTGGCCTTTTAAATTAGAGCTAAGTAGCAAATAAATGAATATATACATTGATAAATAATTATTATTTTCTGAGGTACTTTTGAAATCTGAAAATTTTCTTTAAACTATTTTTTATTAAGTTTAGAATAACTGATGACTGTCTTTTGGTAGGAAAGATGCTATAATTAATCATAGACTATTACTAAATTTTTCTGAATAGTATTATAATTTAAATTAGTTCACCTTGTGTTAATTAATGCAATTGAAACAAGTTCAGTTTCCTTTATGAGTATTAGTGGAGGTTCAGACTACTGGGCATTAAAAAATAATGTGAGAAAAAAGATGACAAAGTATTTGATGGTTGATAAGGCTTAGAGTTCCTAGTTATGTTGTATATGAATCCACAAAACACCAGACTTTGGAAAGTGAGATCTCCTCAAATGGACTGGGTAGCTTTTTTTTTTTTTTTTTTCAAGATTTTATTTATTTATTTATTTGAGAGAGAGAGCGAGCACAAGAGGGGGGAGCGGGAGAGGGAGAAGCAGACTCCCTGCTGAGCAGGGAGCCCGATGCGGGACTCGATCCCGGGACTCCAGGATCATGACCTGAGCCGAAGGCAGTTGCTTAACCAACTGAGCCACCCAGGCGCCCTGGACTGGGTAGCTTTAATGCTCCAATGATGACTGAAATCAGTTAATTTCCCTGTAACATTCTTGTCTCTGCTTGAGTTACTTTAGCTAGTACATTTTTTAAAAAATTGAAACTTGAGTAATACTTTTTATAAGTTTGAATTTTCAAATTTTATAGACAGGTGATCCAAAGCCAGGCATGAACGTTAGTCAACCAGCACCTCTGCTTTGGCTTCCTCATCCGGTCGAGTCCAGGAGCTTGCTGCAGTCACTAGGAATATGACTAAGAAGACCCTCCGATTTGGAGCTTTGTGGCGCATGAGATGACAGGTCTGCAATGATGGTGCTACCAACACTGCAAGGTAGATCACCTCTATCTCATGTTGGGTGAAATATGATTTTGAATTGCCTTGCTCACATTGGGAACAGCTTAACTGAAATCAAGAGCTACATATAATCCTATCATTTAATTACACTTTTTGCATTCCCCTCTGGTATTGTAGGTTGTAAGTGTTTTATTCTCGCTACAGATGTAATAAATCCTCATTGTAAATATTCAAACGTGAGAGAAATACAATGTAGGAAAGGAGCACACCCAGCAATCCCACTCTAGTAGATACATACTTACACTTAAGCCTATCAGTTTCATGCACACCAGCCTGCCTTTCAACTGTCAGCACCTGAGAGTCTTCTCATGAGGATTTTGCTTGAGGGCTCACTGTACCTGTGGTTGGGCCAACTGGAAATGCTGAGGAATCAGTTGCCCTTGGGAGCCCTCAACCGTGACTGACAGGATGTGTGAATAAATAGCTCTGCTTCCTTGCCTCTCAGTTGGGATAACTGAAGACAGTGTACTAGGTTTCTCTCAGCATTCCTTGGTGGGATTAAGCTTCTGTCGTCTACAGTGGTAACTGGCTTGATAACATCACCCCCTAATGGCTTCCTCCCCTTCTTATCTTCTCTACTCCCCTACTGAGTTTTCCTGGGATTACTCCTAAGTAAACCACTTGTACTTGCCCTTTCTGGGAGGACCTAACTTAAGATACTCATCTTCCAGGGATGGTGCCATGACTTCAAATTCTCATTCTTTTCATGTGGATGTGAAGAATCAATGCTGTTCTAGAGGCTTTCTCGAGTGCTGTTAGGGTAGAAATTTAGCCAGAGATTCTCCTGTTCATAGGAGAACCTGTTAACCCTCCTGTTCATAGAAACTGAGTCTTTGGGAGTGGAGTTGTCCCTCTGGGCTGTCATTTATCAGGGTTTCTCCAACATGGCACCATTGACATTTGGAGCTGGATAATACTTTGTTGTGGAGGCTGGCTTGAGCTTTGTTGAATGTTTAGCAGCATCCTTGTTTTCTATCCACTAGATGTCAGGAGCATCCCTCACCCCAGTTGGGACAACCAAAAACGTCTTTGAACATTGCCAAATGTTGCCGGGAGCCAAAGTTGCCCCCAGTTGAGAACCATTGAGTTATATCAAGTGCATATGGGTCAAATATGGCAAGTTTGTTTGGTGTACTTGAAGGCTTTCTGATCACCTAACGGGGAGGAAAACACAGATTGAAGATGATCTGAAAAAATCTTTAGATTTACCCTTTAGTGTTAGAGTTACCTCCTCCCAATAAAGTAAGAATAAAAGGAATATATTAGAAGAATTCTTGTATGGTAATGAGGGTTCACTGGTGGTGGTACTTAGCCCGAGAAAAGCTAGTATCTTTAGAGAAAGTGGTAGCTGTGTAGTGTCCTGATGTAACCTGGGAAACTGCCACTGAGTTTCTTCAAAAAGAGGGACCCCATGAAGACCTGGGTCCTGGATTGAACAATACAAGTTGCAAATTGAGTAAAGGGTCTTAAGCTATATAGTTATGCCTTTATGTTCAAGCATGTGGGTTCAAACCTCCCTGGGAAGGGAAGGGAACAAACTACTGTCAAGCATAGCTGTGGCAACAGCCTAGTCTCCCATAAAGAACAAGAAGATTAAGTGCTTGGGGTGTCTAAGAAACAGCTGGGCATGGCATGGCGTCCTTCTGAGAAATAGTATTGACTAGGAGGAGCACAATAAACCTGCATCCCGGGGCAAGCCTAGGTGGAGGGGCAAAGATCTGGGAATACAGCAAGCAGCAGGAATTCCCTGGGGATTGCCTCCAGTGTTGTGCAGGTGGATAAAAAGCATTTGATGTTTCTACCTGCTATGCTTCCAGTTTGGTGCAGTGGGAAACTCCAACCCAGACGCAGACAGGAAACCAAGAATTCTTTGCACAAACAAGAGTCAATCAAATTATTTCTTAGAGCAACATAAGGGTGGGAATTGAACAAGTGTTTGACATACTTTGTTTTCACACCAGGTGTCAGAGATAAGATAAGACTGTCCAAAGTCTGAGAGAATGCTGGGGGAAAAAGGGGATTGATTATCATCTAGTTGATAGTTTAGAATTCCAACCCCTCCCACCATTCTAATTCTAGTTCTCAAAAGCTTGACAGTTCCTTTTATACACCCTGGGAACATATTCTAAACTTGTCTGAGCTGTACTTTTACTTACCTAAAATATAACGAGATATCACTTCTACTTTTCAAAGTGACTCCACCTTTTCCTGTGTTGAAAACTATAGTGGCTGATTTTATCCTCAACTTGGAATCTTGGGGGAAGGTATAGGTGTTACTGGAATGTCAGTCTTGTATAACATTTTTGGACTGTTAAGCTACTACAGCTTCTGTTTCATGGTCTACATCAATGATTCTCAGAGTGTAGTTCCAAAACCAGCAGCATCACCATCATCGGGAAACTAGTCAGAAATGTAAATTCTTAGGTCCATCCCAGAGCTGCTGAATCATAAACTCTGGAGGTGGGGCCCAGTAATCTCGGTTTTAACAAGCTCTCCAGGGGATTCTGGTTTACAGTCAAGTTTGAGAACCACTGGTCCATGTTATGGGGGAAAAGACAAGGCCCTGAGAAAGACTGCCCCTCCCAGTAATTCTGACCTCTGTGTAACACCTATGACGTGGATAAAGGGAATGTGGGATCCTGGGACCAGAGAGCAAGGCCTGGTTATCTTCCAATAAAACACAACAAATTCCCTTGTTGGAAGTGCCATTGCAACCCCCTGCCAAACACAGCTCTGGGTGAACAGTGGTGCTGGCTTATGGAAACCCTTCCTCTGCTCACTTCCTAAAACAAATAATAATAAGAAAAATGGTCATCTTTAATGAGTTCTAGTGACATGCCTGGTACTGTGGTAGATTAGTCCTGTGTGTGTAAACTGCGTGGAGTCCTCACAGCTCTTTGTGGTAGGCACTTGCTATGCCCTGAATGTTCGTGTCTCCTCCGAATTTGTATGTTGAATCTGTAACCAAACACAAGGGGTTTGCCACTTGGAGTGTATCAAATTGAACACAACCCAAGGAAATGTTGAAAGCAAAGAACTTTTCATTACTTGTCATAAGTGAAGAGATAGGGAGATAGCTCTCAAAGCACTGTTTCCCTGAGAGGATAGTATAGGCAGCTTTTATTCAGTGCATTAAGGGGTGGGGCAGGGAGCTTGCTTAGGCGCTTGGGTTCAGTTGTGCATGCCTAGCATGTCAGCATGTTAGTGCATACATCATATGTTCAGAAAATGATGGAAAGCTCCATCCATAGGAGGAGATCTTAGAAAACAGGTTCAAAAAGGCTAAGTAATCTATCCTGGTTAACCCAACCAGTGAGCGGCAGAATAGATTAGGTTATGGCCTGTGTGATTCTGTCCTTGTCAACCCGAATATCCTAGATTTCCTGGTCAGCTGAGGGTGTAAATCCCTGCTTTTGGCTGGAACCTTAGTGATGTGGCCTCCTTGTCTCATCAGACATGTTGGACTTTGGACCTTCCTCAATGATCCAGGCCTCAGTTTTCCTGTACACCACCTCCTGACTCCACAAAGCTCCCTTTTGCTTTTTGGGAGGAGCTACATTACCTTGCTCAAGTTCAAATGCACTATGAGGCCCTTTTACAGTTCTCAATTCCCTCCTTCTTTCTTGCCCCAGCCCCAGGAACCCACTCTCTCCTCATGACCTGAGGTGCCACACTGCAGACTCTCTGCTCTAAGAAGGCACTTTGCTCTACCTTTCAAGACTGTGCTCTCCCATCTCAAGGCTGCTTTTATTCACTTTAAGCAGACACTTCACTTGGTCTCTCCCTTAAGAGGTGGAGTGCTATTTCTTTGCATGTGTGTAGTTTGTGTTTGCCTTGCTTCCCTGGTGATCTTGTCCCTTTTAAGAGTAAGGACAACACTGGAACCCCTGTGTATTGCCACTCAGTGAGACTAAAACAGAATTGTGAAGAGAGGGGTCCAACTGGATAGCTTTGTGACTGAGGAAAGGCAGATGTGTGTGTGTGTGCGCGTGTGCGCATGTTGGTGGGGGTGGGGATGCTCACTATTGGCAGAGAGGCAACACTACTATTCTGAATGTATCTGTGTTTGTGTTGACATTTCATGTTGCAAAACCTTGCAGCTTGATGTGTTGATCCAATAAAATCATCAAGGGAGTGAAATAAAAACACCCAGAAGGTCAGTGGACAGGAGGGCCGACTGTGTGAAAGGCACCAGAAAACTCTTCTTGGCACACAAAGCATTGCTGGAAGGAAAAAACAACAACAACAAAAAACAGTCAAGGAAAAAAGATCCAGCAGGCAATAAGGTGATGGCAGGTGCTCTGAGTTGGCCTTGGGTCTCTAATGATAGGCTTTTATTGTATTAGAGCTGACTGACACAGAACTTATTAACAAATTAAGAAGTATTCATTCCTTGAAATATTTTGGACGTTATACCAACTTTTTCTAGTGGGTTGTTGAAAGGACTGGGTATTATGTCAGGTTGGCTTGGAACCCAGGAAATGAGCTGGCACTCTTCAAAGTTAATAAAACATCATTTGTCATAGGATTTGCAGGTGTGACTCAGTTCCTGTATTAAAATATACAGTAAAAACCGAGGGTTGAGGAGCCAGTCCTTTGCCAAGCCTACTGAGTCTTCTATAACTGGCATGCTCTGAGCTGTCTGGAATCTTCTGTGTGCTATCTAGGTTTGATGTGCTTTGTTTGTGTGAGGATCAGGCCCGGTACCCTCACCCCCACATAATCCCCTCTTGCCAAGGGGCTAAGTGCAAGAGAACCCCTTGTTGTTTCCTGGTGCTGGTTGGCGGTTACCCTACAGATTGCTTTGGCACTGTGTGACTTTTGTCTTTGTGAAGGTGGGAATTTTATTGACTTTGTTTATTCATCCATTTGGATGAGTTCATGGCAGGGGCAGTGGCTGAGTCTTTTTCTAGATGAAGTGGATCCAGAGGTGACTGGAAGTGTTAGTGTGGAGTGAGGTTGTATTCAGAATCTCA